GCAGCTTTGTGTTCCGGACGTTAGCTTTTCAGAGATTCTATGACCCAGATGTGCTTCTGCCAGGACGTGTTTTTCGTTGCAAACGCCTTGGTACTGGCAATGAGTACGCAGTCAGGGTGTGCTGCGTGGAGGGTCCATGCTTGGATCCAGAAATGGAAGCATCATGATGCACTAACAAGAAGGGAATTCACAATCATTGTTGCAAGGGACATGAGCTTGTGGAATAGATGCCCTCAGCGAATGCACGAGTCACTGAAGTCCAAAGGCTGACCCCGTGACACTCATTCAAGTGGTCCTGTGTTGGAGAGACCATGTTCCATCAAGTCGATTTAGTTGCAGTTCAGCAGAAGTGCCCTGAACCCGAATAGGTCCGCATGGCTATATTATACATTGCCCCCAACAAACAGAATATAGAGAAGATAGAGAAGCAGCATGAAGCAGCTATGGCATCCCTGTGGGAATAACCCCTCCAAAATGCACGGCCTTGAGGCCCTATATGGGGTCATTTTGCTCCTAGTAGCGTCCTTGCTCCTAGTAGCGATGCCCTTTGCTCCTAGTAGCTTCTTGTTCCTAGTAGTATGGCCAGGAGCCCCTAGTAGCATCCTTGGGGGGTCATTTTGTAGTGCATATACTTGAAATCAGAGGATCATACATTCATGCCCAACTCACTGTGTGACCGATGCAAAATATGAGGTCGAGGCCCACATGTTGTAAGGATTGTCACTAACAACAGACATTGGGCCCATCAGGGGACAAAAAGATGTCAATGCCGAGTTTTGTAGCGATTTGATCGAACAGGACTACAGGATATGATCGTGTCTATCTGATTGTGTAGAAGGCATTTTTTCTTTGATGCCATTCATTTTGTAGTGAGCATATTTTCCAGAGCTCAATGAAGCTCTGTACGAAATGATGCCAAGTAATTCCATTTTCTAAGGACCAAACTAACATTTTGTACGTTGGAAAGGCCTTTCTGTAGGAAACAAAACTGTTTTTGCTACACAATGCCTGACACAACGGCACCCCATGAATTCGTGTAAGCTAAGCTGTGGCTAGAGGCTTCTTCAGTTTCAGCGAGAAGCGCTTCAAAAATCGCTGGATGGGTGGGTTTTCGGTTCTTGACCCGGTCATGACTCAGTCGACTCCTTTTTTCTTCAACTCTTTAATCAGAACTCTCTAAAAGATTTCTTCCAGCCGTTTTTCTTGTCTTTAGAAATTGGATGCTAGACTCTTTTTGCGCTTTCTTTACAATAGGAGACAACTTCCTTCGCATCAGCCCCACATTATGGAGCCATCATGCAGGTGGTGAATACCAAAGCCATCTCATTGAGGGAGCGAACCGTTGCCAGCTTGAGGCGCTCGCGCAGTCACACGCGACGGTCTCCACGGGTGGGTGTAGTTGTCGGAACTCCGTCGGTAGTAGGGATGTCTTATTTATGTAGCGCAGACAGCCTAGGAACAAGAACGCTACTAGGGGCTCCTGGCATCGCTACTAGGAACAAGTGACTTACTAGTAGTAACAAGAAGCTAGTAGAAACAAGAAGCTACTAGGAACAAGTGCATCGCTAGTAGTAACAAGTGCCTTACTAGTAGTAACAAGAAGCTAGTAGAAACAAGAAGCTACTAGGAACAAGTGCATCGCTAGTAGTAACAAGTGCCTTACTAGTAGTAACATTAGAATTGTAGCAAACCATGTTCCTATGCGGAGAGTTGATGGACGGAACCCCCACCGAAAGGAAACACCGAAAGATCCTGTCGCAACACCGTACACTCATGCAAATATGACAAAAGAGCAGGAAGAGATGATGTTTGGGTCCCTGACCTTTTGGGTCTGGGGCGACTGCCATGACTTCAGTGATGGTGTGAGAGAAAAAGAAGGCCTTCTAATTATTGAATCCTAAAGTACAGAAGGGACCAGCTAACCCAAGTCCACCTCCTGTCTTCAAATCGGATGAGTCCGATGAGTCCCAGTGAACAGCGAAGACCGTTCCGCTCCACGGGAGAAGAGCAGTCGAGGCGGGAAATCCTCGTCATGAGAGAGTCGGAGCCCAGACCGGGTCAAAAGATGGTGGCAGATACGTTGAGTTCATTGGGAGGCGATACTGTACGGGTTGAGAGAGGGTTGAGAGAGGGTTGAGAGCATGGAGGGTTTTCCTGCCCAGTGCCTCAAAGGGTGGTTTCGCTGTTTATGGTGCTTGTTCATTGTGAGTTCATTTCCCTGTTTCATTGTGAGTTCATTGTTCAGGGTTTGAGAGTAACATCTCCATAATTTCACGTCTGCGACGAACATGTGGCAACCCGTGATAAATTGTTGAGTGTTGTCGGATGAGCTACCCGAGCAGCCAATTCATCAGCTACCTGAGCAGCAACTTGGATTGCAATCTCATCACTCCATCCACCAGGGGCCCTTGGTAAGCTTTCGGTGGGTCCTAGAATTTCTGTTCTGAGGCTTCACCATCCTCGGATTGTCAACCTCAAAGAGGCGTGTGACAACCGCTCATTCCGAAGCTCCACGTCATCTATAGACAGTGCTTCAGCTTTGAAGGAGATCTCATGAGCAGTACTTCTGAAGTTGGTGCCATCAACCACTTGTCAGTTCTTTCGGCCAAGAGCCACCTCAGGGCCGGACTGGAACATCTGGAACCTTATCATGCCACCGTGAGGCCTTTTGGGAAGGTGACCTTTGTTTCATCGTCATGGACCTGGCGCGAGGCCTGTTGGTTTTGCATGAAGAATGGGTGTTTCCTTTTTGGTGTTTAAGCTACTGGGACCAAGTGCATCGCTTCTAGTAACAAGTGCCTTACTAGCAGTAACTTACTGTTTTCGTTCGCCATTCTCTGGTGTTTCCTTTTTTGGATACATCGAACATGTGCTGAGCTCCAGACATCCTCCAACCCAATCGTCACGTTTCAATCATCGCGTTCAAACTCAGTGGCAACAGCACCCTCACCATGACTGTCCACCCTTCTTTGCCTTCTTCTTTACCTTCAAACGTCTTCCCAGACAGTCTGGACCCAGAAGCTACTAGGAGCAAAGGGCATCGCTACTAGGAGCGATCGGACGCTACGAACGGAGCAAAGGGCATCTTCTTTGCCCAGTCTCCCAGACTTCAACTTTCTTCCACCTCGTCTTCTCGACACCGGTCGCCCCGGTTCCGCCATGCACGCCACGCGCGCGGCGCGCGCAGATCGGCCGTGTCTCGGGAGGCGGCGATCTTCACGGTAAGCTCGAGCCCGGCAAGGGTCTCGGACCTGAGGCCTCCTCGAGGCGCTCAGAAAACCGGTCACGAGCCAATCAGGCTATGGTCTATCTTCAGGTGCACAGCCACATCGGTGGTTCTTCCACTTGATGAGAGGAGCTGGATGCTGCCAAACTACAACCTTTTAATTATAGGTCCGGTTTGATGGTCTATCAATGTCTATCACAAGTTCCTAAGCCCCCAAAATCAAAGAGCTTAGCCATCAACATCAGACAGCTCCTCTGCTCCTCTTGTTGAGTGTTCTTTGCCCAGAGCTGGGGGTAGAGATTGCGGCATGAAACATGTTTAAAAAAATGTGACCATGAGTTGGAAGTAGATCTGAGAGCCTGCTGTGCGAGCAGGCATGTGTCGAAGCATTTGCTCTCCGCCATTGCATACATGCACCACCACAAGGCCAGGCCCGTCGTAGAAAACAGAGTCCAAGTCTTGTAGACTTTTGGGTTGACAATTCTCGGGTCTTTGACAAATCCATAGGAATAAGTTCAGAATGTTTGGGATGGCCGTGTAGAGGAAAGTCACCGAGAACTTGTAGGATTTTGTAGGGCTCTGTGATGCTTGTTTTACCACTAACTTTTGGTCCTCAAGCGGCAAAGTCATGTCACGCGAGGCATGGAGCCACCCACCACTCATGATTTAGAAGCCGACTAACTAATAGCAAAGGAACCCACTAGCGATGGCCTCCTAGATACCGTGTACCACTCATGATTTGGAAGCTGACAAACTGTAAACCTAGACCATGTGCAGCTCTGTGTGCCCAAAGCATCAAGGTTATGCATCGTGATTTAAAGCCTGAGAACGTCCTGATCGCACGTGCGGGGCCTAAGACAGCCCAGGTTTGACCTCGACAGTCGGACGGTGGATGGCCTTTGCTACACCGAAGCTTTTGGCCTTTTTTGTGCTGCAGGAAGACATGAGGAAAGTCACCCACAAAACGATGTGATTTTCAGCCCTGAAGCGACCATAAGCCACCCAAATGGAACGCCCTAGATGGCCAGTCCTTGGGTCGAACATCGCTGCTTCCTCTCACAACCCCAGCTTCTCCTGGTCATCTTCGGAGTCTTTCGTTGTTCAGCTCCCACAGCTGAAAGACCATGGCACCACCTGATCCAGAACGACTACCCGCAGACCCGATCCAGCATGAGTTCAGTGCAAAAGTCACTTTATGCTACAGGGTTTTCGAACATGAGAGGCCATTTTTGGACGAGGCATTGATACATACAGTTGCAATACAGTGATATACTGTATATATGTGACAAACTGATATACCTAGAAGACCTGAAGGCAATCATTCCTGCCGACTTGTGATTGGGCTGCTTTTGCTTAAACAGCTTTCGTGGCCGTGACCAGTTTTTGAGGATCGAGTCTGCCTCACATAGGATCAACTTGGTTTGCAGCGCAGTGCGTCGTACAGTTCCTCCACAGATGACGCGAGAGCTGTCGAGTGTTCTGCAACGCGAGAGGTTCATACTTGGGACCAGAGCCACTTTGTGCCGAGCTGTCCGGCACTGATTGCATCATTCGCGGCGAAGTCACGCGGTGGAACAAAGATTGTGGTTGGTCTAGATGTTGCATCTCCATAGCATGTTGGTCACCCAAACTCACTCCCTGCCCTACTCTCTTCTTGCTGGATTTGAGTAACATAAACAGCTGTTGAAGGCGGTTGCTCCTCCCCAAAGTGTGACTTCTCAATCTGATACTTTGGCCAACCAAAAGGAGGCCCATAAAAGTCAACGTCGACCTCTCGGCTCCAAGCGCTTCGAAGTTCCAACGGCCCGGGGGCGTTTTTCACGCCGTGGCCATGACATGGCGTGAAAAGCTGGGCGTGGCTCTCCTGGTCTATGGGATCATCAATGCGTGGCTTGGAGGAAAAGAGCTCATCCTACTAGAGATGGCCTCCAACCAAATAGCGATGGCCTCCATCCTGTTAGCGATGGCCTCCATCGGAGCAACTACATTGGAATATACGTAGATATGCCATCATGAGCCTAGAAGGCAGCCTATATGAGATTGATGGATCAAGAAGTTGCACCTTCTAGGCACAAGAGACAACTATGAATGCTTGTAAGGAATACACAGCTTCATGGAAACACGTGTTACATCAATTCTACATGTTTGTCCATGGTCTTTGGGCAGGCTATTGCGAAGCAAGTTTATACTCTTCGCTCACGTGCTATGATTTTTTCGGTTTTGAACGTCCGATCTTCCGTCAGATATCTCTTCGTGAAGTTCACACCTGTCTACTCCGCAACCGTGTGCGGGGATCAGACGGCTGTGCCTTGGCGGAAGTTTCATCGGCATTCCGACTGAAGCTCCTAGGAACAAGTGCATCGCTACTAGTAACAAGTGCCTTACTAGTAGTAACAAGAAGCTATTAGAAACAAGTGCCACGCTACTAGTAACAAAAAGCTACTAGTACCTTGGATTTGATGAAGGTTCAACTTGTCACAAGGACCAATGAAGCTCGCCACATTGCGCTTGAGACAGTGTGCCTAAAGCAAATGATAAGTTTTACTAAGCTCAAGAGGGACATCAATGTGTAGCCATGTCGAGAGTCATAGCCACGGTTTCCAGGAATTGAAGGGAGCGTCGGCCCCATGTGGAAAACAGCAGCGATTGCAGGAATTGAAGAACTTTGAGATGGGAGAGACGATCCACGTGTCTATTGAGATTCATGTGGTTTGTTCCAATCCGAACCCTTACCAGGTGCGAACTGGGCCGCTGGGGAAATCAGGGCAAAACACATGAGAACGACATCAGGATGCAAGAGGGTTGCTTCATCCACAACTTCTACTCCCTCCGATCATCTATACGTTTAGGTTGCTGGACTTTTCCTGTTTCAACTTCGAAGCTCCTAAAGTGGCATTGTTGGGGCAATCCGCGGACGGGTACCTATTTATCAATGTTTACTTCTCAGTGAATTTCCCTTGTAGATAGGAGTCTCATTCGACAGGTTTTTGGATCACTCTTCTCAGGTTGGAGGCCATCGCTTTTAGGTTGGAGGCCGGAGGCCATCGCTAGCAGGTTGGCCATTGCTAGGAGGTTGGAGGCCATCACACTTCTTGCTTCTTACTTTTTGTTTTCACCGAAGATCGGTCGAACAATCGGTGACGTGCCGTGCAGGTGGAGATCCTTAGCGATACCCCCGGCCACGTCTATGTGGGGAGCGACCGAGGCCAATCGCCTCGGTCAAGAATGTTGATCAGAAAGGCAATCTAAGAAAGCCCCTAGTAGCTTCTTGTTACTAGTAGCTACTTGCTCCTAGTAGTAAGGCCAGGAGCCCCTAGTAGCGTCCTTGCTCCTAGTAGCGATGCCAGGAGCCCCTAGTAGCTTCTTGTTACTATTGAATATTCATACAATAGTATGTTATTTTTTTCTTGTTTTCTGTGTGTTTCCTTTTATTGGGCTGCAGACCGTATGCCGTAGACTCGTGTAGACCCTTTGCATATCCCCTTGCTGCACTTTGACACCAACCTTTTGCACCGACCACATGGCAGGTACCGATGTAGGCGTGCTCACGCTGGCAGAAGGACGCCACGGTAGGTAGGGTGAACATGGGTGAACGTTTTGAATTCTGCAGACAGCAGTTCATCAAGATGCAAAAGCAAAGAGTCTATCCCACAACCTGGCCAATTTTTGCTTGGCTCAAGGGACGATTCGACGTTTCTGGGAAAGTCATTCAGTCTTCATTGGCTGTCATGATCACTTTTAAAAAAGCAAAAACAATCTACTAAGTTGACTTTCATCCAAGAAACTGTAACAAGACTGGAACAACGACGCTACTAGGAGCAATGGGCATCGCTACTAGGAGCAAGGACGCTACCAAGGGCTCCTGGCCATACTACTAGGAGCAAGGACGCTACTCAGACAAAGAACAGATGAGATGTTCGTCTCATCCGTTTGGCGAGGATCCACGCTTCCTGCGGGTGGTCAGGGGGTCATCCGGGTGCTGATGGACAGTAAGATCGCTCGAACCTCTTCAGGTGCGGGATGTGCGAGAGGTGGCACAAAGTCCTTGGTCTTGGACTCTTGGGACCCCAGATTTGTGTGTAGACGCTAAACCCTGGGTCTTTGGTGAACTACCTCGGCTTTTCTTTGGGTCATTCCTTCATCTTTTACGTTTCTTTGAAACACCCTTTTGTACTATTTCCCGTTGAGGGGATCATGAAATACTAGATTCCCACAGGGCATCGGACTTTCGTTTTTTTCGATGTGTTGCAGCGAAGCATTCGGACACCGGACCGAAGGTCGCAGGTCGATTCGACCAAAACCGGTTTGGGAACGGACAACCGCTTCCGACATGAACAGCGTGGGTGCCAACATGGGATTTGTTGCTGGATATCGGCTTTTTTTCGTTGAAAGACAGGGGGACCCCGAAGGGACCCCGAAGGGACCCCGAAGGGACCCCGAAGGGACCCCGAAGTATCCCATACTTTTTGGTCCGTACAAGACGCCTGTACTTTTGCCAGAATTATAAAGGCAGGTTGGTGAGAAACAATCTTTAACCCGAAAGAAACCATCTTTTACCTCTGTTCTTTTGGGGTCAGCCCCTCCCCCCGCTCCTGCAAGTCTGACTGGGATTGATGGCGACTGTTGGTAACACTCACAAAGAATGGGTTCGGTGTGGATACTTGAAGGCAAGCTGCACAGAATGATACAATACTGATGTGCAATTGCCACGTGCTCGAACATCACATTGTCATGAAACCGCAAAATCCGCTTCCGAAAACTGAAAACATTTGTTTCTTACTTCTTTCTCTAAACCACATAATTACTTACAATTTGTGCGGTCTTGGAAGCGTTTGGTAGTAGCATGTAATAGCCTTTATGCACTGAAGGTTGCCGGTCTATTTCATGTCATAGCAGTTCACTTGTGTCATCTTGCGCAGTTTCATTGCCACTCACTGGACAGCATCGGCAGGCTCGTTGGTGGAGAAGTTTCTGGGGGACGGTGAGATCCCCATCTACATGGACTTAAAGTTCGATGTGGGCGTGAACATCATCATCGGCTTATTGCATTTTCCACCGATGACCGCGCCCTTCGACAAGAGTCCTGGGCCTGATGAGAGTTGCTGTTGGTTGGTTAAGGCTGGCGGCTCTGCTTCCAAGCTACTAGCGATGGCCTCCACCCTAGTAGCGATGTTCTTCCTTGTCTGCTTCCTTTGGGAAGGTGTGGCCCTGTAGGAATAGAACGAACACCTTGGGGAAAGAACGACTCTTCGAAAAGCGAAAATAGAACGAGCACTTTCGTTTGTGTTCACGAACAGATCTTCTGTCGTCCCGTTTGCTGAGGAAATGCGGAATGCATATCGGCGGCATGTTCCAGCGCGCGGCGAACAAGCTTGGCCCATTGATTTGTAGAGACAGCTATGATGCACTGACTCTGGCACACTTAGGTGAAGAGACAGGCAGGAGCCCAGTTTTAGGGGTTAAAGTGCACGTTCGATTTACCCACCGGAAGCACCATTCTCCAAATCCCAATAGCAATCCGGATAGCCCCCCACGGTACAGCCCTTATGAAACCATCGTGCACAAGACCCTTTCTGCTGAGACCGGAACGAAGAAATCCCTGCAGGTGGCATGACCTTTTCTGCTGCTCAGATGGATCCAGATCGAATCCGCATGGGTGAAACCATGAAAAACGTGTGCATTCTGGGCGCTGGAGGTTTGTCTTTCTTCTTCGGCTTCTTCCTCACGCTGCTCGATTGGAAGACACAACAGAAACTGAAACCCCATGAAACACCAGAAAGCATGTTTTCATATGTTTTCAATCCAGCTGCTCCGTCAGGAGCAGCAAAACCACCATCGTGCCTTGGAGTGGCACCCCAACAAGCACCAGCCCTAGTAAGGCACCTTGTTACTAGTAGCTTCTTGTTACTGGTAGCGATGGCCTCCAACAACCTAGTAGGAATGGCCCCGAACGTAAGAGCGATGGCCTCCAACCTAGTAGCTTCTTGTTTATACGTACCAATTCACAGAACTTTAGAATCTTTAGAATCTGGTAACTTCCTTCGTCCATCATCCCCAGCTGCTCAGCAGCCTTCATCGCTCTTTAATTTGATGCACCTGCAGACTCAAACTGCAATAGGCTACAGATGGCTACAGACTTGTTTGAACCGAGCCCAGTATGTTCCCGCTTGAGGTACGCCTTCTGGCTGGACCCTCTCCGCTACTGCGAGGTCACTCTGCGGCGCTCGACCACTCGAAGCCTCTCAGGAGGCCTCAGCCTGAGGGCAACGCTGTCGGAGCGAAGCGCGCGAGGCATGGAGAAGAAGAAGACACTGCAGCTTGGGCGATGGAAGCGAGTGGAACCGAGTGGAACCGAGTGAAGCGAAAAACAGAATGTGATTTCATGATCAAAAGGGGCAAGGATGCTACTAGGGGCTCCTGGCTTTACTAGGAACAAGGGTGCTACGAAGGAGGCAAAGGGCATCGCTTCGGTTTAGGCCTTTTTTTAAGCTAGCTCTTGGCAAGCGAACACTTGAGGGCCCTGTGGACCGAAGACACAGGCTGTGTGGATGGCGTCTCCAGTATGGGGTGGCTAAGATGGTGAAAACGATAAGAGTCCTTGCTCCTAGTACTAATGCCAGGAGCTCCTAGTAGCGATGCAGTTGTTACTATTAGCTTCTTGTGCTCCAATGTGTATTTTAGTGCATCTCAGTGCCTTTGCAGGAAATAGAGCTTTCTCCAAGCAAATCTGAGGCACCGATTGGATTTGAGTGACGGCATGGAAAGGACCTGGGTTGGGGGGAAGAAGAAACAGGAGCGGATGTGCGATGCCAGATCGTTGTTGTGGGGAAGCACCAAACATGCCGGATCTAGACCGCCTAGGCCCGATTGGAGCATTCATGTGCAGTAAAAATACTTTTGGTGCTGGATGGAGCTTGCTGCAAGTGTTCTTCCAGGAGCTACTAGTAGCGTCCTTCCTAGTTGCTTCTTGTTACTAGTAGTAATGCCCTCCAACCTACTAGCGATGGCCTCCAACCTAATAGCAATGGCCTCCAACCTAATCGAGATGGCCTCCACCTAGTAGCTTTTTGTTCCTAGTAGTAATGCCAGGAGCTACTAGTGGCGTCCTTGCTGCAGTAATAATACTTTTGGTGCTGGACGGAGCTTGCTAGAAGAACAGCCTGTTTTAGAAGGTTGCGCCTGGGTGGTTCATTCCAATGTTGGGAAAAGGTATTTGTACAGACCGAAGGAATGCCGCCAAGGAAGGCACCAATCTTATAGTGTAGATATGTCCTGATCCTGTTCAATGCGTATCTCCAAAAAAGTGTTTGATGTTGACCACTCTCGTTTGCCCAAGTCAACGCTACTCATCCCCCTGAAAGAATTCCTGATTTGCAAGAAGACTTTTGAAAACAAGAAGTCCCATCTTCTCGCGGACCAGGGGGCAAATCTTCTCGCTGCTCTCGTGTGGCATTTTTAGTGGATGGAATGCTGGTGGACATGGGTCCACCCAGCCCCATCTGGCACAGCGAAGTGACTCACAAGCCAGCGGCGAATTGAGAGGTTTACAGCCTAGCTGTGTGCGTGGCAACCGCTGACGCCAGCGGAGTCGTGGTTGGTCGAGGTGATGGTGACAGTGAGGCAGGTTCATACACAGACGCTTTACGAACCGGGACTGGTTTTGTTGGATTTGGCTATGAAGCGAACAGCGAAAAAACACAGCTCGACCCTTTCAGATGCTGGGGCCTGGCGTAGAAACGCTGACCCGGGCGGCCAGAATCGCACAAGGCTCGTCGGTGTGTCTAAAGGGACATACAACTCGAAACAGGATTGCAGGCTCCCCGATGTTACGTGTGTCACATGTAGATCCTATACATGAATCATGACAAATTACAGACAGAAGGGGGAGTCCGGAGGGAATATTTTCATTGATCAAATTTTTAAGCAACATGCTATTCTATTTATCTCTACTTGAAAGGAGTTCGCAATACTGGATTGGGTTGTGTTCTGGCCAAATGGTATTGATTATTGAACATGATAGTGATCTTGTTGCCAGACAATACACATACGGAGCGATGCATAACATCTGGCGGTTCATCAATTTGTTAGCACCTGACTCTGCCACCATCTTTAAAGGCTCCGGAACCACAAGGGCAGCTTGCGGTCAATCGGTCGACGGGCAACGCGACACCTTAGTGACAGACCCATGTCCTTCCTTAACTTTTCGCCATCTAAATGTGAAGTCCATTCGCATGGCATAGTAACATTTGTTGCTTTTGATCCCGCTGTATGCTTGTCGTAGGGTAAATGGACAGAGGCTGGGAAGCGTGAGTGCAGTAACACCGTAGTGTGTGGTGTGGCCCATTACTCTGTGGGACGTCCCATGCCTCGGAAAAAAAGAGCTGGAACCAGCCCAATGTGCGGTACTTTATTTTTCCAGAAAGCAACTTTATGGCAATGGCCTCCAATGATAGCGAATGGAAGGATGGTACTAAAGCACTCCGCTTTGATCTGCTTTCGTAGCGAAGTAGGTTTGCTCAGGGATCCGTTTTCCCACGACTTGCCACTGTGACTAGATAACACTGTGCATGTCAATCACATCCTGTTCCCAGATAACTCTTGTACTGTATATTATTGTGTGGGGAATCTGGACGCATATCCATTCATATGGTGTTGCTGATACCGTTGGAAAGTCTTCCTTTACGGGTTGCCAGGGTGCAAGAAGATGGCTGCTGCAATCATGAGCGTCCTTTTCCTATTTGTATTTAGCTACCCTTTGTGGACTAACAAGAAGGACTGACAAGCTTTGTCATTTTAAAATTACAGATTTACAGATGGGTCAACCTATATCCTTCCCAACCTGTGGCAGATTCCCCCACGAACAGACGACGACCCAGTGATCCTCCCTGCTTCGTTTTGGTGACAGGGATCACGTGGCGACCAAGTGGACTGAAATCAATGGCCATCAGACCGGTTTCCGGATGGTTTGGCCTCGTCACAACCGGTTTGCGGATGGTCCTCTACCGGAGTCCACTAGAGTCAGAACCGATGGGGGGGCATCTTCGGCAGAGCAGGGCATCGCTACGAACGGAACAAGGACGCTACTAGGGGCTCCTGGCCTTACTACTAGTAACAAGAAGCTACTAGTAACAAGTGCATCGCTTCTAGTAACAAGTGCCTTACTAGTAGTAACAAGAAGTTGGGTAGTTGCTGTTTGTTTTCAGCGGCGAAGTCCTCATTTGGCCGTTGCAGCTCTGCGTGACAAGTCGCAAAGATGAGGATCCCTCAACTGGTCAATGACCAGGGCACATGCACCGAGACTTAGCCTATTTGTGTAGTCGCTGCCTCCATGTTCTTATCCGGTTGTGAACATGGGTAGTAGGGCTTTTTCATTAAACAATATAAAAAGTACTCCGTCTTTTGCAACTTTGCCCTTGGGCAATGTCCCAGATTTGCTATTGGGAAAGTTTGCTCAAGATACTTGCTGATAGGAGAGCATAGACACTTGGGCTGGATGATTTCAGGCTGATGATCTTCTGGACATGTGCCAAGTAGGTCGTTGGCAGTTGAGAGTGGCGCACCCGACGTCCAGTTTTAAAAACAGCGCGACTGCGGCAGAACTAAACCAGTAAGAATACCCTTTCCAATATGCTTAAGAGGTTTCAGGACAACAGGATATGATACGTAATTGTTTTTGTTGCTCCACACTTGTCTTGTCTGATTGTTGTTGGCTTCTTTGCTTTCTCCGTTGCGTTGAATATTGTAACTAGAGGTGTAAAACTTATTCGCCCTAAAGGGAGACACTTGGGAATATGATTTTTGTGGTTTGCCCATTGGCTCTGTGGTACATGCAAGTCTCATCTATCACTTACTCGACATGCTGAACATGACGGGGTGGAGTACCCATTTGTCACCGAATAGACTTGGTGTCAATGTTGCGAATGCACATGTGAGATTTGTTTTCCATTTTGCAATGCATTTCATGATGAGAGCGGATAGATGACATTCAAGTCACGCCGCAATCGAATTTCAATTCTCAAATCCGGCCGAAGGGCCCTTGAGTCACGTTCGGCGACGACCTTCGCCACCCGCTGGCATTGTGAGAAAGGACGCATCGCGGCCTTCGAGTTCTTTTTCTTTGGTTGCTTGGAACTTCGTGAGTTCAAGTACTTCGAGATTGGTAGCGGAGCCCAAGACGATCCTCCCGGAATTTGACCAGGGTGAACTTTTTGTTTCAAGACGCCTATAGGGTAATCCTGGCCGGTGAGAATTGGCTCATCTTAAAGATCACGTTCAGCAAGGCAGTCACAAATGAGTGGTCAGCAAAGAAGACAGCGAGAGAGACCAGAAGGCGAACAACCAGTTGATGTCCCAATACCTCCTTCTCCTCCACGTGCAGCGAATGGAGCTAGTCCAGGAACTCCCTCCTCTGGCTCCAACAACTATCGTGGATTGGATAGTGGCTTGGCAAAGGCCGCACCATCGGCCGAGGGGCTAACGCAAAGTGGCTATCGCAGCTACAGAAGACGATTGGAATTATATGCCCTGCAGTGTCGTCGACGCTCAACGGATGCTGAGATTGAAGGTGCTCTTTTGGTCATCAGCCTCCTCAAGGACACTGTTTGGGATGCAGCAGAACAAATAGATTTGAAAGAAATCACAAGTGGAACAAATCCGTTCGCACCTTTGTTCACCATGATGGACCAGCTATTTCAATATGAAGAACAAATTGAGGTTCCATATCGGTGTGAAGAGTTCTTTCAAAGCTTCAATCGTCAGAAGGGAGAAGAAATGCAGGCATACCTCATTCGCCACCGCACTGCGTTGAAGAAACTTCGAGAGGTCAAGATTGACATTCCACCACTTCTTGCTGGATGGCACTTGTTGACCCGAAGTGGAACTCCAAAATGGACACACGTGCAAGTGAAAGCATTGTGCAAAGGCGAGCTTGACTATGAAGAGGTCCAACGAGCTTTGCTTCGAATGTTTGGTGGAGATCACAAACCAAACACCAAGGACATTGGACCTGTTGCCAAGTCATCCAAAGACGAGTTCTTCTATGAGGAAGACTTTGATGAGGAGTTCTACTACGAAGGAGAAGAAGAAGATGATTGGCACGAAGTCTACTATGAAGGTGATGAAGATGAAGAAGAAATCCCTGAGGAGCTTGAAGAAGCATACGAAAACATGGATGAAGCCTACATCTCCTACTTGGAATCAAGAAAAAGAATGAAGGAACTTGCCTTGGCCCGTGGCTTCTATCCCGTCGTGGCCATTGGTCCTGACTTCGATCATGGCAAAGGAGGCAAAAGCGAAAGAAAGGGAAGCTCAAAGGGCAAAGGAAAGAGTAAAGGAAAAGGAAAGGGAAAAGGCAAAGGAAAAAGCATGTTTCCTCGACGCCCAATGCATGGTCTTCGAAAGCCACCATCATCGTCGACTACTACCTCCTCCGAGTTGAGATCGACCCTGACCGGTTCCAATTCTTCTCATGGACCGAGGTTCAAACGATATCGAGTGCAAGCACAAGGTGTCAAAGAAGTTGGAGGTGAAGAAGTGACCATGGTGGAGGAACTAGCGGAAGAGTGCTTTCAAGAGGACATCTTCTTTGCCACCCTTACTCCAGGTCATGCAATTGTGGATTCAGGTGCAACAAGAACACTGGTCGGAGAAGAAGTGTGGAAAGAATGGGTCGAGCACTATGATGAAGGCCTACTTGGACCTCTCCGTACTCAGGCACAAAAGCGATCCTTCAAGTTCGGCGGCGGAGAGATGCTTGAATCCAACTACGAAATCTCCTTCAACGCCTTGGTGAAAGGTCAAAAGCTGCCCATCACGGTTTCAGTGGTACCTGGGCACACTCCCTTCCTGTTGGCGAGACCTGTGCTGGAACAATGGGGGGTGAAACAAGACTACGCCAGTGGCAACATGAAGGTGGCTCAATCCGAATGGTTTCAACCAAGTCGTGGACAAAAAGGCCACTATGTCTTGAACTTGTTGGAATATCATGAAGACGAACAAGAGATGAACTACATCACGGAAGAAGAGGTCTTGATCTCGACAAGTCCACTGGAAATTGAACCGCCCTGTGAGACAGAACCGTCGGACATTGCAGAGCAGATCCTCATGGAGTCCGAAGCCAATGAAGTTGAAGAGATTTCTCAACAAGTTTTGCAGCGCCTTCAACAAGAAAGAAAATTGATCTTCTTTGAGGTCTATGTGGATGAAGGCAACCTGGCTACAGAACTGTTGAAACGCTTTCCAGACTGTGAGGTCGCTACTTTCAGCCTACCTCATTGGGACTTTGAAAAAGAAAATGACCGAAAAGCATTCCTCAAGTTGGTGAGAGACCAAAAGCCTCACTTCATCTGGTGTGCACCACCGTGTACGAAATGGTCACCAATGCAAAGGCTCAACATGATCAAGGCCGAAAAGCTAGCCTACATCCTGGAATTGCAAAAGCAAGAAGAAAAGCAACATTTGAAACTGGTTTTGGATGTCACCGACATCTGCAACTGGGAGATCAATGCCGGCATGGCCATGGAGCATCCTCATTTGGCTATGTCATGGAAGACGAAAACCTTGGAGTCCATGGATGGTTATGATGCAATCTGCAACCGATGCAGGACCGGCTTGTGCTACTATG